TTTATAGTATCCTTTCTATAATGTAAAGCATAAATAAAATTGAAATCAGAGTTTTCAACTGGCAAATCCAAACAAGATGATTAAGACTAAAGTATAATTAAAATTGTCCTGTTTAATAAATATTAATATTTTAGTACAAGTGCGCTTTCTTTAATTCACCTAAGTTTCATTTCACAAGATTCACACAGTACTAAAACTTAGTAAGAAATAAAAAAAGGCAAAATAAAACACAAATCATAAGGAATAAGAGAGGTATGTGGAACTGTTACAAAACTCAGATGGTCAGCAAGTTTAAGAATCAGTTCCACAGTAAGATGCGATGACTACACCAGTCTCACAAGCAGTATGGAATAACCTTGTACATGTGCTAATGACCCATTTACTAACAGCCTTCCAGTCTACCTTGGAAGCACTTGATTTAGATGTCTACGGTTTAAAAAGTAAATTCCGTAAAGTCCTAAAAATAATTGATATAGTATTATTTATCCAGAATTTATGTTGTATGCAATAATACTACATTCACAAGTCATCTACCTACCAGTCACTGTTTCATCTTTGTGAGGGAGATGGAGGAAGAGATCATATAAATCATGTATATGGTTTCCACACCATCCCAATTGGAATTCATTATCAGACAGCCACATTGAAATTCAAATGACAAGCAACTAACTTACTTTAATGCACAGCACAAGATGCAGTGTAAGAAAATAAACTGACACCACAACTAGAAAATTAGCTGCCAATCTCTGTACTTTTCAAGTGACACTTTTTATAGTGGCTGAAATAAAAGTATTTAAACAGCTCCCTTTGTAATATCACCTCACAACTAAACAAATAATGTATTCTTAATATATGGTGATTCTTGGTTTTCTGGGATTATGATCAGTTAAAAGACAAATGACAGAGATAAATCCGTAAGTAATCCTAAATCATAGTTTTTGCAAACAGTATAAGCACATTCTCTTGCTGTATCATTCTGTGGATCTGCCAAAAACAAAGCAGTAAGTCTGTTCTCCTCCAGGATGTTGCTAATATTTAATTGATTTAACAAAATAGAGTACCGGTAAAAACCAGGAATCAGACTTCCACAGAAAGCTATGTAAATCCAATCAGTGAAAATTTATAAAATCCTACGGAAAAAAGAAAACAGCAAGGCTTCCATAGGGACATTATGATAACTAACTAACCAACAAAATGGGTTTGTCTTCCAATTTTGTCTGTTTGCACTGAGAGGAGGTAAAATAAAGAGAAAGAATCAGTGTAAGTGGATTTATTTAAACAGTCAAAAAGCTTGATAACAGCCTAATACATTATTTAGCTATAGTGAAGAAATCACTGTGCAATCAGAGAGAATGTGAGATTAACAAATATGTCCTAAGAGAAAACATTAAGCTTTTATTATTAGTTGTTATTTTAAAAAGTAGGAATAATGTGCCCAGTCCATTCTCCTTAGATCAAGATCTATATGGCCAATAACATACAAGACTATCACCTGGATGCCTCTGTGATACCTCAAATT